TTTCGCGCAAAGAACGAATGGGAAGGGGATTTTGAGTTGGCTTATAGTGCAAAAAGGACCAGGGGACATATTTCTGGCAAAAGTCACGAATTTGTAAGATTCATAGGTTCACGAAAAAATCTGAAAAACAATCATTCACAGAAGAATAACGGTGAATTTTGCTGTGCTTGTTGGTGAGATTCCCACAGAATGGTACGACAACAGGTGCTCGTGTGTGGTGATGTGAACGGACAGTTCAAAGCACTGGTGAAACGAGTTAATGAAGTCAACGATAAGGTATCAGGGTTACTTGCAACAAATTTTTTTTTATTTTTCTATAAATCGGATTAAATTTCAAGCTTTTTTTTAACAACAGAACTTTTTGAACTGTTTGGAATATTGTAACCCTATAATTGCACCTATTCCTCTCCTCCCATTAATTCTTAACACTTCGACTTCGCTCCATTTACTAATGTCTAACAATTCCACCAAATTCTAAACGATTCCATATTATCTACCTTCTCATTCACTAACTTGTCCTCCTTTTCTCTCCATTAATTTTCCCTATATAAACCCCTTCCTAAAACCCAGGTTGTCAGTTTTGGAGATCAGCTCGATCAACAGCGCCATTGGTCCACTACGTCCTGCGTTGAGTAACGCTACTAGCATCTCGCCTCAACACCACCAACGTCCTGCTGAATAGTTTGTGCAGCGCCCCGGCTCGTCGTTTTGTTTGAAGCGAAGTTTTTGTTGGAAAAATAAAGTGCTGATATTCTTCCCTGTCTTCCGCTGCTACAGTCAGGGACCACGTGAGGGCCTAACAGTATTAAAGGATGTCTTTAATTTATCGTTTATAATAATAGTTTGATTCTCGGCTTTTTTTTAAGCATGGACCATTTGTGATGCTATTTTGTGTTGGCGAATTTTTTGGCACTGATGATGAAACGAATCGAAAAATTATCAGCGGCGATATCACAATGCCTTTACCAACCTATATCTTAGGTATGTATCACTTATGCAATTAGTTTAACGTCTCATTTTCAAAAAAAGTACTTATCGTGATTAGGATTAGCAAAATTCGAGACAAGATGGCGCTACTCAACGTATGTCAAGGAAAAAAATTTCGAGATTTCTAAGCTTTTTTCAATTACTTTTGTCGAGAAAACGATCAAGCCAATGTTCCCTTTAAGGAATTTAAGAAAAGTAGACTGGTTACCGGGCAATGTAGCAATGGGTCAGAGTACTTGAAAAAGTTAATAACTTCATTAATGAAGAGGTAAAACTATGAATTACAAGCTTTTTCAAGTTTTTCAATTTTTTTTTTTTTGATGCCATGATGTTCAATATTAAAAATTACATGATGATTTTTGTTCGTAAAAATCTTAACTATGTATAGGACCGTGTAGCCCATCAACATCGCGATATTATCCCGAGGCTGGCTGTGATTTCAGCGGAAATTTGACATTTCTTGGAAAGAAGGGTATATTGAATACGGCCGATGGCTTACAAGTGGCATATCTGAGTGGCGTTGAAGGACCGCAGTCTTCTTCGTTTCAGGTAGCCTATCTTAAAGATTTTTTTCTGCTAGCAGTCGGATTATGAGATAATTAATTTTGCTGGAGCATTTCATCTTATTGCTGCATTGTTAGCTTCTTCACATGTATTAGTTTCGACAGTCTATACATTCGCATCAAACCACAGGTGTGCCATTGCTGCATTAACATTTTCTGGCTCATTCTTCACATGTATTAGTTTCAACAGCAGTCACATCGACAATCATGTCTTATTGATGAACTGGTATTGTTAGCTTCCTCCATAGGGAGGTCTCCCGGTCTGGGAGAGGAGGGGGAGGGGAGAGTGGGAGGGGGAAAGGGCGATCTTTTACCACCCTTCTTCCTTCGCCACTACATTCCCCTCCTCGGCTAGCTCACAACCCACTTCTCGATCGTCGCGCTACTCCCCCTGTTACTCCCCATCTTTCCCTCGCCCCGCCCGGCTCTTATAGATGACACTAAATTGAAAGTGGCAGGACTGTTGAGAGGGAGTGGGAGACGACAGGCAGTACCAGAGGGAGTACAGGAGGG